CAGGAAAAAAAGACATTTCCTAAACCGAAGAGGGAAAAGCACCTTTATTTTAACTGAATAAAGATACAATGGCTGTTTAGGAATTTCATGGGGAAGGAAAATGAAGAAACCCTAGTAACTAAGCAACAGAGCTAGAGTAGGAAGAGACTTCACTGTACCAGAGACCCAAATTAGTAAAATCAAATCTATTGTCATATGCAAAGATTAGAGCTAACACCGGAATAAACTAGTCTCCAGCTTTTCAGTGTATTCAGTTCAGTCCAGTTACTGCTGTACAGGGTGGCTCATCTGTCCTGTGATGTCTTACGGTACCACAGTGATTCATAGGACCACAGTGTTACAGTCTCTTCCTTGGTTTCTAGGATCAAGCACGCCCTCTCACCAATGCAGGAAAGGACGGGTTCCTCCCTCCTCATCCTCTCCCCTCGCAGGACGCCGCGGCGGCTCTCTGCCATGGGCAGGGCAGTGAGAGCAGGGGGTGAGGAGCGATGCGAAGGGAGTGTCTGGCCATTTCTGTTGTGCTGTCCTGTCATAGGACAAGTGGCAGCGCTAGCCTTTAACAAGCATGAGTCAGAGACACTGCGGCTGACTTCAAACTAGTCAGCACTAAACTGATGTTAATTCAGCTGCTATTTGCTATTCAGCCTGAGCAACGCAGAGCTTGGTGTGTGTTGGTTTGCCACACTAAGGGTAGAAGAATAATTAAACCCCCATTGCTTAACAAGCCATAAAATTCCTCTAATCTTCCTATGGCAGACAGTTTTTTCCAGAATAAATAACACTTCATATGTAAGTCTTAAGGAGTCTGATCTTCCTGCACAGATTTTGAAACTCATATATGATTCATTTTTAAGAATTTAAGTAAATGAAAAATATTCTTACCTTTACCAATTTTATAAAGGCCCACAGATATCACCAAGATAAGAGCCATAACTTTCGCATATGTGAAAACATCTTGTACACGGGTTCCCCACTTCACATTAACACAATTAATAAATGTTAAGGAACCTGTAAAGAAAAAGAATATGCATGAGAGGAGCACTGATATTTTATATCACATAAAACACATTTCAAATACATCCTTCCAGATGCCACCCCTCTTTCAAGAAATAAAACAGAATCAAATTTCACCATTTCAGGACCACCTAGATTTATTAAAATGAATGAAATACCTGATTTAAAAGTTACACAATAGTTTTTTGGAGGATACTGTTTTCATGACAGTAGGTAAGACAAAACACATCAGATTTTTAATTTTAGGACTAACTCCTGCTCCTTTTAAATAATTAAATTTTATTAAAGCCAGCAGAGTTGCTTACATACAGAATGTGAGATTTCTCTAAATCTTTTATTTGCGCTGAAGTTTTTCGTGAAGCTCTCCCTGCTGATTTGAGCTCTAGTCTACGTACAGAGTAAGGACAGCTTCTGCACCAAAAAGTTTGGATGCGGTGAATCGAGCCAGGCCGGCATGCTCTTCCTCTGTGCCCATGGCTTAGTAGCTGCACCATTCATGCTTTGACCCCAAGTCTGAAGATTACAGAAGTACTTACAGAGTTCTCTCAAGCCTCAATTTTGACAGAATCTAATAGAAATAACAAAGTAGTGTGGTTGCAGAGAGTGGGTGGGATCAATTAATTCTCCCTTTCTCCTTCTACCGTATTCTTTGCATTCAGTTTTGTTGCAGAAGTTAGACCCCGATGAGTGGATAAAGTGCTGTGACTAGCGCTGCTGCTTGGGCAGTGGCAGGTCCAGCCAGGGGCTGAGCTGTGTGCCCACCTCCTCTCGCTCTAGAACACACACACACAGCACCACAGGTGACTTATCTCTCTTGCAACTCCATAATTCAAAACAGAGGTAGACGAGGAAAGGAAAGGGTATGCATTGGTACCAGGTACAAAGCCCAGCTGCTGGAGAAGACAGCAGGCCAAATGTGGCACGGGTGGTCCAGACCGGTCTCGAGCATGGATCAGAATAGGCTATTTCTTCTCTAGCAGTCTTGTTGGTCTTTCTTTCTGTTTCTTTGACCTGCCTATAATCTACACTTCAGTTTTGAAAGGAAGAAAAAGGGTTTTCTAATGCTTAAAATGAAAACTATTTAGAAACCTTTCTATATAGTAAGGAAATTAGCATCCAACCACAGATGCTCCCAGAATTTCTTGCCTTCATTATTACAAGCAACTCTGTATATTTGACAGTGTCCTGTCAGCTGTCAAGGTAATAATAGACCTATTTCCAGAAACAGGACCTGATTTGCCCCCAATATTTCCTATTAATATACCAATGTTGTGCAATGGGGACAGAACTTTGTTTTTATTCTGGTATTAAAAAAAAACCCAAAAGGTTATATAACGATTGTTCGTGCCTAGTGTCAGGTTTGAATATAATTTTAAACCTGTCTGTAAATAATAACTTCTGTAAACCTTGCTCTAGTAAATGTGGCATATACATAGAAATAAGATTTTATGCTCTATAGTTCAAAAAATCTCCTTAGTAGAACTTAACCATATACCTCTTTCTTAAAAGTACAGCAGTATATATCAGTAGCTGTTAGAATTATAGGTCTATGTCTTGAAAATTATAAAGTAAGTGTTGACTGAAGTTTTTAATACTGAACATTTAGGAGTCATTTGTGATGCTATAAAGTGCTATTTGAAACACTGCAAAGGATATGTTTACTGCATGTGCATGTAATACATAACAGGTATCACGTGCTGTAGAGTGTAATTAGATTCAAGGCAATGGGATCTTGCCATGGAATTCCCAATAAATTCTAGTAAATATATATATTTAAATGTTATCTCCACTATGCTGGTGAAGTGCCAATTAAATCCACACTCCTGAGCCTTATCAAAATTGTAAGCTAGGAATAAATTTGCTATCTGACACTGCTAAATTGTGTATCACAGTTAATATAATACACTGTAATTTTCCCTGCAATCTGGGCTGTTACTCAAAATGCTAAGCCTAGTCAGTGGCGAGGCAACTAATTTGCTGTATGAGAAAGCAGTAGCTGCCAGCCACACCTGGGGCATCAGCTCAGAAATCAGAGGTGCTAGAGCATACAGCTGATTCACATGAAGACCTCAGCAAGAATAACTAAGAAAATGAAGACTTAAAGAAACATCAGCATTTGAAGACTGCTTCTCTTAAGTGTTAGGATTTCATGAGGTGCACCTAGAACACCAGAAAAGAAATTTTTGATCTAATAAATAACTGCTTTCCTATGCAAGTGGAGAATTTCAGCTGACAAAGTCTTTTGGAATAGGGTTAGTTGCCTTTTAGACTGCTGAGTAGTCATGATGGTCTCAAGTTCTACCATGGAGCCTTTTCCAGAAGTGAACTTCCTCTGAACCACAGTGGCAAGAGTCAGGGCTACAGAGAAAGCATCTTCTCAGAATTGTCAGTATACATTATATTATCCTAAGTTAAAGTTACTTATCCTTTTGGAAGCTTTTGATGAGTTGTGCAATTTAAACCATTCTAGAAGATCCTACTATAGCACAGCCTAAAAGGAACACATACTCCACCTTGACAAATCCACGTTTTTAAGGAAAAGAATCTGAGTGCAGTTCATCTACCGGAGGATAGATTTGAAGGATGACCACGCTTACCCCTGTGGTCACCTAAGACATACAGTCACGACAAAGTCAACTCTGTGGAATGTCTGATTACACTACACAATTTTTCTAGAAACAAAACTCATATTAGGCAGAGTATTTTTAATTCCATATGAATGTTGAGATTTTTGATTTTGTGATTTGCAAGAAATAGGGGAAAGAAGACATGGACCAAATGCAGGCTGCGAATTAGGTCAATGATCCATAGAGATATATGTATCTTTAATTAGCTGTCATAGTTTCCCCCAGCCAAATTATTGTAATTCTCCTCTCTGCTCTAATAATTCTAGCCCCAAATAAAATCAATCTGAATAAAAAGATTATTAGTTCCTAAGAACATGTTTTAGAGAGGCAGTAATTATTTTCACAAAAGGTGAAGGAATAGAAATTCAGAAAAATCCTCTGGGCACCTACAATTATAGTTCTTAACTTCTAGGAATCATAACTTTACTTACAAATACAAGCAGCTGCAATCAACCTGACTGCATCATACGGCGGCTCACAATGAGGAAAAATTGGTTGAACAATATAGTTAGCAAACGTAATTGCTATCACTGCCTGTGTTGTTGGTTCGATAATTAGCAAGGAAGACCACAGTCTGATGAAGGCCACAAAGGCACCAAATGCTTCCAGGATATAGGCATAACTGGCCCCAGATTTAACGATGGATGTTCCCAATTCAGCGTAACACAAAGCTCCGAACAGCGAAAACATCCCACCAAGCGCCCAGATGACTAGAGAGAGTCCATAGGAAGCACTGTACATTAAAACACCTCTGGGTGATACGAATATCCCAGAGCCAATCATGTTCCCTACAATTAAGGAAACTCCATTTAGTAACGTGATTTCTTTTTTCATCTGCATTTTTTCACTTGTGTCTGCCATATTGTCCATTTCAGCTTTTCCATTCTTAGTTTTGGATTTTTTATTGCAGCATATTCGCCAGGGGGCTGGCATCCTCAACTATCATGTAACCTGAAAACAAGAGGAGAGAACATCTTTTTTAATGCACATGGCATCAGAGACACATATAAGATAATTAACATGCAAGGCATAAATGGTACAAAGAGCAATTATTTTGCCTGTTTTTATCTTGGAGTCCAGGAACCACATACTAGTGGTTTTCTTAACTTTCACTGTTCCGTATCTTTTTAATGGATAAATGTGAGACCACTGTCTTTGGTTATAGATTTGGAATCTTTCATGAACTCCGAGTTCACTTTTATTATTTATCTTGAACTGTAATTCTACATTATGTTATTGAAGTTATCTTAGGAAAGAAAGAGACACTGCACCCCTGGAAACATGTTCTAATACAGCTGGAGTGTCCCACACAGGTATACCTCTCCCTGAATTTTGCTCTCATTGCAGGAAGAACTTCATTATTATTTGTTTCATCAAATCACATCCATCTGAAAATTTTCTCTTGTGTTCCTCAGCAGATAAGAGAGAAAAAGATACTCAAGAACTCCAGCCTCAGGAGGTTAACATTAATGTGAGGATAAAGAAAAGAGCTTTAGCTGTTCCTAGGGATGAGATTGCTGCTGCAGTGAATAATGCAGCTTGTTTAGTTATTAACCTCACTTGACTTCTGGGTAGAAGCCACTAGCATGGATTGAGTTTTGAACACCCTGTTCCTGGAATGCTTTTGTATAAGGGAGGCCAACAAAACACGACTATAAAAGCTTCCCACTCTGGTGCTTGCAGGGCAGGATCCAAGTATGCTGGGAGCTGGGAAAAATGACGTAACTGCATAGCTGCGTGGATAAATCAGCCTTGTGCACACATCGCACCCCCTGGGGCTGAGGTCCTCATGGAAAGGGAAGAGAAATGTAACAGGTGGGACCGCAGCGACTGTCTCAATTCTTTGTTTCTGCTGACTCATAACGCTGCTTACTTAGAACAATGACTCTTTTTTGGTGCCTGTCTCAAAAGAAATTTATTTCTCTT